CGATAATTTGATATTAATCGATGAGCACTCATTGGCATATATTCCATAATAAGACATAAAGTATCTTTTATTGATGATGAATGAAAAAAATATTTTAATCGAACGATATTTGGATGAATCATTGTTTTAAGTATATCTAATTCTCGAGATTTAAATTTTTCTTCAATTTCAACTTCTTTTATAGCAACAATTTCTTGTGTTGTAATTAGTTTTGCTTTGTAAACTTTTCTATTCAAGATAGATCTATTACTTTACTATGAACAAAAACGATTTAATACAAAAAAAAAAGAAATATCGATAGATGATATATACGTATCTTAGATTTTTTAGTACATTATATGAAAGGAATTTTTTGATAAACAGTGATTAACCCTTTACTCCGAGATATATCCACTGTCCAGAAATTGAAACTTAAAGAAATTCATGGAATTCAAGAAAATCAAACGGGATTCACTGTTTGAAGTTTCTGAATTGTATCAATAACATCATTGACTTTTAATCTTCTGAGTTCGGGCGATACGAATTCGCATTCTTGGATTTAAGACTATTAAGAAATCAAATTAAAGAAGAGAAACTTCTTATTAATGTATAGAAGGATACATGAGATCCTTATGCATTTGTAGATTGTTGCAAAGACTATTGCATATCTCAAAATAATTTAAATACTAATTCGATATTCTTAATTTAAAATAATTCTAATTCCAATATAAGAAAATTTCTATACCCAAATGTACCCTGACCAATTTTTTCTCGTTCACCAATATGTAATTCAACTGTATAATTCAATGACTTATTAACACTTGTCGTTGCTGATAATGATAATGGTGTATCTACTTTATAAGCCATAACTTTAATTGGATATGATCCACTCAATAAATCATTTCGATATGACCCTACACTTTCTTCAATAACATCTATTTCATGTACATCATTACTAATATCTGTTTGTGATATATTTGATGTTAATATATATCGTTGTGACATTGTTGTTATTATATGAATTATTGTTAAGGTACAAAAGGAATTCGTTGCCGCATGTTGTTCGTTTTTTTTTTTTGGCAAGCGTAAATATTAAATTTAGAAAAACTTAGAAGAAAATCAAATATGTGCGCGCTTAAATTTTATTAGGTTACTATAAAAATAAAATGATTCACTCCACATAAATTTTTATTCATTTCTTGAAAATAATATAAAAACTATAATTTATCTAACTAAAAACAAAAAGTATTCACGATATTTACCATGCATAGGAAAGAAAAAAATTCAATAGGACAAAACCAAAGAAGCGAAAAAAACCCAAAATTATTTCAAATTTTTTTTTTCTTATTTGTCTCTTTGATCAATATAATCTTGATTAAAATAAACAATTGTTATTGTTATATCATCACGTATTGAGCGTGGATTAGGGAATGTTAATACATCTGATAAAAGTTTACTATCAAATTGACCTTTAGATGTATAAGCAAGTGCATGACGAATTAAATTAGTTGCAGAATTTTGATCAATTGGCTGATTTTTAATTGTTTGTTTTCGTGCAGATAATAATTTACTTATTTGATGTAATTTTATTGATGATTTATTATTTTCATTTTTATTTATAATAAAACGATCAAAACTTTGTATACCTTTTTGATGATTAAATATAAGTTCGACAACTTTTTCAGGTGATAATAAATCCCAAACACCATCCGTAGCTAAGACAAGAAATTTATCTTTATTTGTTAATTTATGTTTTATTATTTCTGGTCGAGCAGTTAAATATGGTGGTGTTAAATAAAATTGTGGTACAGCATTACTTTTTTTATAATATGGTTGTAAATATTCTTGAAGATAATTTTTTGGCCATTTAAAACGTACATCACCAAATGCACGCAATGGTGTTAATAAACCAAGTAAACGATCATAACGAATAACTGAATGATATTCATTTGATGGATGTTCAGATAAAACACGTTTGACTTCAGGTGGATTATTTGTATTATGAATATTTGAAAGAGGAATTACAGATGAATTACCATTATCATCAATAGTACCTATGAAACGAAAAAAAAAAAGAGTTATTAGCACCATTCCTGTGAGATTAATAGATGAAATACAATATAGTTACTGTTGCTAATCGCACAAAGATTGTTTATTCTGTATATCTTGGAAAACATTTCTTCATCCTCCTTTTACCTTGTGTTCCATAAATGTAATAAAGAAGTAGTTAATATATTGTAACAAGGCATTATTAGTAGACAATCTGTGATCGTATATCGACGACATCAGTCATAGTCAGCGGAGAATGTAATTTTCTACCCTATATACATTCAATCCTGGACAAAGCTAGCTACCCTTCATGAAGTGCTTATATTTTTAGATGCATGCGTGCGATAATAAATTCTGATCGCAAACACTAAATCGCTTTTCATTGATTCACATGTACTGAAGTTTTGATTCAGACAACATCTTTCTCTTGTGATCATCTTATTTCAACTACGTTGGCATAAATATCTTCGACCAACCTCTAATTCGAAAGTCCAATGTCGTAACTAAATCTAGTCCAAATTTTCTTAGAAATTACTTTGAAATAATTGAGATTTTGTCTTCTCATTACGAGTTTCTCTTGAAGAGTAAATGCTGAATTTTAGTAAGATGAATCTTGTCCATGATGACTTTGATTAATTCGTTTGAAAATTTAAATAAAAATTTCTAATGCGATGCCAACTTTGGTCTGAAATTTTTAAAGTTGCAGAACTGAATAAAGTCAAATTAGCACTACAACATGGATTCACTATCTTAGATATAGGCTTTGATAATAATGAAATAGACACATAGGACTGTCTTTAGTGCTAGCAAAAAAACAACAGTAGTAGTTCGTGAAATAGAAAAATGATAACACTCCTTTTAAATGGTGTTTCACAAAAATATGAGTGTAGAATATTTATATATTCTTGAAATGATTTACCAAGAATGGCTCGTGCATCACCACAATTAGCAACATACAGATCTGTATCTTTGATTAATGCAACACATGCACATGCACCGGATGTACAAATTTGTAATAAATCTTCATTAGTTTCTTGTGTATCAGTTGGTATTGCTTCAGCACATATATCACGATCTAATTTAATGAATGCATTTTCTAAAGCACCACTTATATCTGTATAATCACTATCAAATGTTGTATAAACTTCCTCAATATGTTTTAATAATTTAGTCTGATGAATTTCTTTTATTTTGGAATTTCTCATATCTTTATATGAATCATAATAGGAATGTAAAAGTAATGATGATATATTATCTTGACCATGACTTGACATTGTTTTTGCTTTTTGCATTATTTCTTCTAAATCATTAGGTGGACGTAAAGAAACTGCAATATATTCGAAAAGACGTTGATCAATAGTATCAGAACACCAATGACCACCATGACCATCAAATACACCGAATAGATACATGGATGAATCATTGGAACCGATACGAGCTTGAGCTTGACGATCCTCTAAGAAAATGGATGATAGTTATCAATCTCTTCATATCATCTAAATATTATTCAAGAAAATAATAATAATAATAATACACGCAAAATATAAGCTTTTTTAGACAACATTATTGAAAAATTATAAATATGACTAATGCCTAGGACAATTCGGATGTTCTTTTATAAGTTAATTATAGTAATGGCGTAACCAAGAGGTAGGACTAAGCCTTTCCTAATAGATCGAAGTTACGGCAACTAAACCATCACAAGTTTCTCTACCAGACAGAGCCCATCTATCTGAACCGCTACTGTCTTAATCTTGATTATGTCACTTGATATATATATAATCAAACATGTATCGTTATTAGAAAACTAAATCTTCGAATAAACTATACCACTATTAGATATGATTAAAATCGGCATTTTTTGGAATTGGAATCGTTTCGAAATCAGCAAGTGTAAGTTTTTTTTTTTCGGATCGAAATTGTCCGTTCCAAATTATGAATACAACATCACTGGAAACAACTAAAGCAGAGTCGGTATGCAGCTATGAACTAAGAATGAACAGAAATCACAAGAATATCTTGGATCATGGCAAGAATGATATTATTGAAGAACAAGAATATGATGAACAAAGTTTTCATAATAACTACTTTTTTAAACGTTTGCAAGTTTGATTAAAAAAGCAATTGTAAATTAATGCATATGTATCTTTCGATTGAGATGTATCTTTTTTTTTAAATATTGTTAATTTCTAAACGATTAATTTAACCCTTTGTAAGAAGATACCGAAAAATTTTATTGTCCATTATGAAAATGCTTTCGATTCGAATATTCTTGTAATTTGGAATAGGGATTGGCAGACTCTGATTTTTTGTTTTTGCTATCGAAATCATCCATTCTTAACTGTCACGCAGAGACTATTAAGATATTGATGTTGTGTATTTGATATTGAAAGAAAGTTATTTTTCTATTATTAGAGAGTTATTCACCATTTGCATTGTTTTAATATTCTTTTTTCTTTCAGATTGATTCTTTCATAACTAACTCAATAGCGATGAATGAGTATATCATAAAACTTTTTAGGATAAACAAATGTCTATTTTCACATTTGGATGAAATCGTCAATACACAATATATCAGAAATTTCTCCGTACAATTAATATTAATTCCTCTATTATTAAAAGTAATCTCTCCTTTTTTTATCTACTGATAAATTTATATCCATGTTACTGATGAACATGAAGGCTTATTCTTTATTTTTGATTATAGTTTCGTGAAAAATAATAATGAAACATATTTAAATTTCTCAGATAATCAATAGACACACAGCATTATCATTCCAATGAAACGGGAATTTAGACAACATGATTGAAAAAAATTTTTTTTGTTAACGAAAAACAAATCATTTACTCATGTTTTTAATTATTTCGTGGTTGTAATCATGTAGAGATATTTTATAAGTACGTGCATCTAATCTGTCAAATTGATATGTTGTTTTCATTTTTTCCGAAACAAAATGATCATGTCAACATACCCGGAGGATTATTAGCACCGAGATAATTAACCTCATAATATTTCACTGGACATTTGACTTCAAGATCAATACTAGCTTCATGTGTTCGTAAAATTTTTGTTGCCTCTTGAGATGAAAGTCGTTGTTCTTGTTCAACTGTTTCATCCAATAAATTTCCTTCAACGGAATCATTATGATAATATGCTAAGGAAATGATTTGTTTTTTATAAAATGATAATAAATAAGATGAATATTTCGAACAGAAAAATCTATTATTTAATAAGACATGCCGAATCATTTCATCTTTAAAAGAAAAACATAGAAAAAAACATTTTTTTTTTTCTTTGAACATGACGAAATACAACAACAAAGAATAAAACAAAATGATAGAAGTTTTATTTGCAAAAAATTTTTCTATATATATCCATCATCAATTTAACTTTTTCTCTATCTGTTACTTGTATGGAATCATCTTCATCATCATTATTATTATTTAATCCATTTAAAGAAATTCTTTTTTGAAAATTTTTATATATCATTTTTGATGGTTTACATATACGTGCTGATGCATGAAATTCTTTTGCTCCTGTTTCACGTAATATTGATTCAAGATTAGTTACATTGATACCACAACCAGGTAATATAATAATACGATTTTGTGAATAATTTATCATATGACGTATACATTTTCGTCCATAATATGCATTTGTTTCTTGTCCACTTGTTAAAATACGTTGAAAACCAAGTTGTATTAATTGATCAATACCTAATTCCCATTTAGAAATAAAATCAAAAGCACGATGAAATGTTAATGATATATCTTTTGGAATTAATTCAATTAAACGTTTTAAATTTTCAATATCAATTGTACCATCAGGTTTAAGTGCACCTAATACAAAACCATTTATTTGTTGATTTGATTCTATAAATAAACGAATTTCTTCTTCCATAACACTTAAATCATTATCATCATAAATAAAATCTCCTGGACGACAACGTATCATTATAAATATGATTAATTCTGATGATAAACGACGACGAATTAATCTTAATAAACCAAGTGATGGTGTTAAACCACCTTGTTCTAATGAACTACATAATTCTATACGTTGAGCACCACCTTGAACAGCTGCTAAAGCTGATTCAAAACTATCAACACACACTTCCATTTAAAAAAAAGACAAAAGGAGTTTGTTTTTTCTTGAATAAAATAAAAAAAAGAACGAAATGAGGGAGACGAACAAAAAAACAAGAAAATTAAATAAGGAAAAAAAAAAGAAGAATCAATGGAAAAAATTTTTATCTAATGAAATAGTTTTCTACCACGATGATTAAATGTCATAAATGATGGACGATTACCAATTGTATCCCAAGTTTTATTTTGCCACTCAGCTGTAATAAGTATTGGTTTAAATTTACCAAATAATTGTACTGTACCAATACAACAAGCAAGAAAAGCAATTAATGTTTGAACAATTATATCTGTTGGTAAATGTTCAAATTGTTGTTCAGTAAGACGTACGTATACACGATGTTGAGCTGCTGAATAACCAGCGTGTGCAAGAGCAAATAAGCCGATTATTAAAAGAATTTTTTGGCCCATCAAGGGGATAGTTCAATCCACAAATGAGATAAATAATAGTGACTTTTTTCTTTTTCTTTTTTCTTTGATGTACATTTCGGAGGCGAGAAAACTTGTTTTATTATTGGTTTAAAATGAGAACGAATCAAATATTCTTTGATTTAACAAGAAGAAGAAAGAAAGTTAATCTATTGAAGTATTGAAGATATTTTATTCGATATCTTTGAACAAAAAAAAAAAATATTTAAAATGCAAAGAAGAGTAAATTATAAAAAAATAGAATTTATGATTTTGTCTAATTCAATTAAATTTTTGATCTGTAGGTTAATAATGCATCCACATTTGAGCAATTACAATCTGTTGACGATTATTTTCCATTATTTCTTGAACAAACTCTTCAACTTTATGCTTTACGAATGAAAGATAATGAAGATCAAGTTGATACTGTTGTAAGTAGAAAATAACGATTGTTTTTCTTTTATTATTTAACATTTTAAATATCAACGTACTGAATAAAGAATACATTTTAGAAATTTTCGAATAAATAGCCTATGCAAAATAATATCGAGATGTGATTTTCAATATTATATAGAAGACACTTCGATGTATAATATCCATGTAGAACAACTGTGTTCAGATTTTCGAAATTACTAACATATGAGCCTCGATAAGGTGTAAATCAAATGATAAGTCTATAGAAATAAAGAAGTTCATATCGAAAATTATAAGAATTTTCCGGATGATTCTTTTTTATGAATCTGTAATTAGGAAATTTCCTTTTTCGGAAATCTGAACGTACTTCAATATAATCAATGAATTTTTCGTTTTATACTTTGTTGTTTTTTGATCTCTTAAAGTATTTTTTTCTCAAACTAAAGTTCTTTTTACTACATAGTTCAATCAATAAGATAAATACAAATCTTGACTCTCTCTTCAGAAGAGAAAAAAAACGAATTTTTATCACGAGGAAAGCATCAGTGTTTTAGCTAGATTTTCTCTTCCAGAAGGACAATTTAAAACCTCGAGAGAGCGAACATCTATTTTTAGCAGCGCATACATATAGTACATGGTGCAGTAGCTACAAAGCCCGGAAGGGTCCAACTCGATCTTTGGAGTGGCATCGCTCTCTCGGTCTTCATGGTGGATAGAACAATGGAAGCTATTCCAACTTTAATCCATTGTTTGAACTCATATTGAGCCCACAAGATAAAACTAGAAAAACCTTAAAAGAGTTCGTACCTACAGCCAAGCTACGATCGTTTTACTGAATTTTCGATCCATTCTTAGGTATTTACTGAAAAGATCAAATAATAAAATTTCTATTTGAAATTTAGCACATGAATAAATCTAATGATCTTTACAATATCCTGAAAGTTTCAGTCAAAAACAATGTTCATTTGTTGAGAATATTGAATTTCCAACAACTAGTCGCCTGTTACAAAACTCGAATTTACATGGAAGTTCAACATCTCGACAAAGGAATATTCTTTTCGACTGAGATTTTTAGGATATTCTAAGATTCAGTGGGCCTAGCTATGGACTAAATTTCAGATCGACAATTCAGTAAAATAGTTATAATTAGGTTACAGAGGTCCATAGGCACGAACTCTTTTTGGATTTTTCTAGTCTTACCGAGACTTTCTTGTGAGCTCAAACAGAGAACTGCAGTTCAGGTAGTTTTCTCGTTAGTATGAATTTTCTAAACATATTTTAAAAAAAATTTCTGTATCAATATTTTGATATGATTAACTCAACAGTAAAATGCATCTTTTAGTTTCATCGTTAAATGGAATTCATTATAAAAATAAAAACAAGAATATTCCCAATATTAAATATAAAAAAAAAACATATAAATTTTGGTTTTTTTTTTATTAAGGCTGATCGTTTATCCGATCGTGATATTCTTGTCGATTCAGTACATATATTTCAAAATTGTAATATAGCATTACTTGGTGGTAATAATGATGAATGTGTAGCTGTATCAAATATATATCCATATGGTCCAGGTATGTTTATTGAAAAATTTTATTTTTGATTTATTAAAAGAATAATTGCAATAGTAATAAGAATAAAAACATAAATTAAATTTAATATAATATGTATACCTGGTATTGATAAATTTGATAAAGTATTTTCAATTAAACGTAATATACTTATAATTAAAATAGTTAATATATTTATTTGTTTAAAATATTTAGTTAAAAAATTTTCTTCATATTGTTGTTCTTGAGCATAAAAACGTAAATTTTTATTATCAATAAATTCAATAGAACGTATAATAAATAAACGATTATTAAGTTGTAAATAATTATTTGTATTTAAAAATTGTATTGATGAATTTAAATTTGTTTGTTGTTTAAGCCAATTACGTTCCTGTTCATTATTTTTATATTCACATGTTATAAGTAAATCATTATTTTTTTCTGTTGATATAATTGAAGATTTTTCATTTGATATTTGATTATTCATTAATGAAGCTTGTTTTAATTCTTCAATTCGTTGTACTATACTTGATTTAATATGTTCAGGACGACGAAGTTTTGTTAAAGCAAGTACATCAGGTGTTAATGGTGTTCGACGACGATTACGTAAATTAGATTTAACAATAGAATTTGAATAGATTTTAGATTTTGTCATTTGTATAATTGATGAAGATTCATTGATTTGACTCGGTCGTATAA